CTGAGTTATCTAGCGTGGCCGTCCGTCGAAGATGTTCGGATGGTCTTGGAAAGGGTTGGCAAGCCGAGCAAATCTATCCCCAAGTTTCCGACGTTCAGAAGTTCGGAAAGAGTTTAAATGCGCGTTCGGGGTATTTTAGAAGGTTTATCCGTCGACTTCGATGTGGGGATCGTGCAGGCTTGGCATGAGCTACAAGCTGGAGTTGGCATGGAATATCGTGCTGTGAGATGATGGGGTTGGGATAGTACGTTGAGACTTCGTTAAAGAAGACAAGTGGCATTATTTGATATGCAGTAGGTAGGTAAATCTCAGCTCGGAAAACAATATTATGAAAAAAAAACCCGGAACATATGTATTGATGTTTTATCAGCTTTCAGAGCTATTTTGCAGTCGTTTGATGTCTACCTTTCCATTCCATTCGCTATGCTCCCAATCATGCGGTTTTCCCCTCCAAACGCCATCGCTATGTTTGATCCAGGAAACACAAGGAGCAAATCACACATCAACATCTGACATTCAAATGAAATTTCCCAACATCACCGCGGCCAAAGCCCACCCAGCAATCCGCCCAGGCCCAATCTCCTGCAAGCTAACACCAAAGCTCTCCGAACTCTGTGTCACCACACTCTCACTAACATTCGTCCTTCCCGTGCCTGTAACGACATTCAGAATATCCGCCGTCTCAACACTCGGTCCCACGTTCCAGAAATCGACCAGGATGAACGTCGGCATTACGCCCCATTCCGTCTTGCAGTTACTCCCGTGCGTGCCCACTGCCCCCAACAAGCTCGTGGAAGGTGAGTTAGTCGTTGTGATATTGTCCACATCCGGGATATCTGCGAAGGCTTGGACTTCCTCTTTGAAATGATTCAGCAGGCCCATGTAGCCGGACGACACAGCGACGGCAGCGGACGAGAGCGTCGTGGGCCGGTCGAGGTCACATGTGAAGTCTGTGAAGTCGACTTGACCGTAGGCCGTTTCGAAGACGTAGTCGAATTCCGAGAGCAGGTACGGGTAGGTTTCATCATACGTGATGCTCGCTATGAAAGTGACCAGCCTCGTGTTTGCAGTGATGAGTGTCTGGAGCGTTGGCCAGGTGGCTACGGGGCCGGTGGTAGACGTGGGTGTGTAGCCGTAGGTTGAGATACCGGAGGAGGCGAAGACGGCACCGAAGGTTGCGGCGGTTTGGTCGTCAGAGTTGACGATGAGGAGGGTGACGACTTCGTTAGGGTTGGCGTCCATCCATGTTTTTACGCTCGAGAGGTAGCTTTCTAGAGTGCCGCCGTCCAGTAGCGCGCAGGTGGTGTGGCATAGCTCAATGACATCATCTGACAGATGTGCTTGCACTTGGAGGAGCCGGAGACCAGCGGACAGAGCGAGGGTTGCGTTGTAGAATTGGTTTCCGGCGACGGTGTAGTCGGTGCTGCTATCGCGCAGAGCAAACGAGTCATGTGCACCCATGTGGGTGATGTTGTTGTAGTTCCGATCGCAGAGAAGAGGAGAATTGTTGCATGCTATCGTGCTTGTAGATGTTGACGCAGAAGCTGTCGTTGTGATTTGTGAGGCGACGAGTGTTGTCGCCGAGACGGCATCTTGATATACCTGTGGTGAGGCGTAGGAGAAGCTCCAACAGAGAAGTGCTGATGAGGCCAGATATGAGAAAGCCTTCATGATAAGTGTGATCGCGGATACACAACAACGCTCAATGCTTGGCTTGAAGACTCAGATGGCTAGATTGAAGAAGCAATGAGAGGCCAAGGAAACTCCTACGGCAACAATCTGTGAATAGGTTACAAAGGAAAGGAAGGAGATATGTCAACGCAAAAGGCATTCACCAACGTTTCATATGCTACCAAATAATACGTACTGGTTCCTGGGCCAGCACTTGCTGCGCATGTTTGCCAATGGTCGTCGTCAGCCCATTCGTACGATGCACGAAATGTCTGAGAATAAGTGGAGAGTGATTTCTCGTATCAGTCTTATAAGAAAGCCTGCCCAGTTCAGGAGGGAGAAATGTGTTTAAATGTGAAACTCATTTCAAGGCTGGGCTGTGCTGACACCCCTGATTATTCAGAGAAGTTTTGTTTGACGTTGACATGAACATCCTCGTATATTTTTAGCTACTTGCTCTTGGCATTTCAACAGGTGGTGGCGTGGCGATCTCCCGCTCAATGTGGCTCGATACCAATAGTTGTGATGTAACAAAGGTACCTACCTATATTCACAGGACTCTTTTCTCTCGGCAGTCCTATGGGAAGTATATATGCTTCAAGGCATCGTTATTTGTTGTCCACTTCATAATGAACAGTAACAGTAGAACCACCCTTTTCCCGCCGGCTCAAATATAAACTTCAACAAGTACAAACTTCATCCAATCTAGGACCTGGCCGACTCAAGCTCCAACTCCAACTGTCTGATGCGCTCACTTTGTCCATCTGATCCACTGCCAACTTTTGCCTTGAGCAAATCAATCTCTTGTGCTAACTTGCTGATCTTCTCGCTTTGTGCTGTCATAACCCTAGTTTGTGCCTCTATCAAGTCCTTGATCTGTTTCAAGGAGCTCTCGACAGAGCCGCTATTTGCTGAGGATGAAGATGGTGTAGGAGCAGCCATTGATGTTACACTTGAATTTAAAACAGGCGCAAGTTGAGAGGAAGGTGAGGTCTTAGGCGGTGATATTTTCGTTGGTGAGTTCTTGACTGGAGATAGTGGCTTGTTCTCAACCTTGACAGCAGTCGGAATACTACGTTGCACCGGCTTCGCGACCTCTTCGAATGAGGAAGCATCATCCGATGATTCGCCTTCTTCATCATCCTGGAACCTGCTAGCCATAGCTGCAATGGATCCCTTTTGCTCAGATATGGTAGGTTGTGGTGCTCTCTGGACCGGAATAGGTTCGGGTTCTCTCTTCACCGGAGCTGCTGCCTTTGCCGGTGTGGGAGCTGGTGCTTGCGTTGGTGCTTTAAAGTCCGCAGCCACCTCGACCGGTTCATTTCCATAGTAGATACTCTCGAGATCGATCTTGCCAGGGATACCGTCCTTACCAGTCAGCCATTCTGCAGCTGACACTGCTGGTTTGACACCGTTAGCTGGTGGATAGATGTCGGATTGGAAGACTTCAGCTCTTCTGGGAACGGTGAATGAAACTGGCTCGATGTAGGCATCATTAACAGTCTTGTATGCTCTCATAACCTCGTTCTCATGGACCTGCACATTGATTAGTGAAGATTTGACAGCGTAATCGGTCTCATTTACATTGATGCCACGTCTCGGGACGAACGCTAAGCCTCTTTGAGGGTCGCCTGACTTGTACTCAGATAGGAACTCGAACTTATCATTCTCGTACTCGAAGTAGCGAATATTTCCATCACTGTTTTGTTAGCGTTCATCCCAGTGCGATAAAGTGAAAACCCACCCTTTTCCTGCGAGATACAAGCATTGCGTTCCATCATCTAGTGCAGTTTAGTATGACATGCCAGTTGCGAATAGTAGAGTACATACCCCAGAATGGCATGCAGACTCCGGAAATTGAATCCAAGACGGTGAAACCACCAATAGGCTCACTCGGGTTTCCAACATCCCACAAAGCCAATTGGCGATCGCTCATCTTCGAGAAACCAGTTGTGGCAAGACGATCGTGCTCGCCCATCCATACAACTCTACTGTTCTTTGCTCCACTGTGCCCAGCGACCTCGACGACAGCTCTTTCCTGGCGCACATCCCATACACGTAGCCTTTTATCTCTGGATGTCGTCGCAAGACAGGTTCCGTTGGCGCTCCACGATAAGCTCTGTACAATATCTCCATGTTTCAGTGTGAGCTGCGATTTTCCGGTGCCTATATCCCAGATTTTTATTGTGTAGTCGCCAGAGGCAGAGGCGAGGATGTTTTCGGCAGCTGGGTTGAAGAGCACCTGTCCTACTTTTCTAGTTTATTTAGAATCGCCCAAAGCTGTGGAATTGAGGCTCTTACCTTGAGTGGCCCGTCAATTTGCTAATTGGCGCAATATCCGTCGGCTCGTCCGCATCGCTGTAAAGAGTGAAACCTTGAGGCACCTCCCAGATAAAGACCTTTCCGTCATCGGATCCAGAAGCAATGATTCTATCGTTGAATGGGTTCCTGATGGGGTCTCAGCAAGATGCTACCTGCGACATCCTATCGCAAACTTACCAATCCGTATCTAGCACAGGCCCGGTATGTCCTCTAAAGAGGGGTATCTGCTCTGGCAGACGACCCTTCTCATTGACAGGTATAACAGCAAAAGCTCCTCCACCGCTGGCCTCCCAATTTACGGCAAGATATTCAGGATTGGCCTATATTGTTGGATCAGCCTCCATGCGCCGGAACTCGCCCCTTGCGTATCATACCTTGACCAAGTTTGTGTCCCAAGCATTGCGACTGATGTGCAGATTGTCGTAGCATGATTCCTTTCTGCTGGATTTGCCAAAGACATGTCCTGGGAAGTGGTCAGCTTGGTATTATGCCCGCAGGTTGACGAGGCTGGTATACGATATTTCGACGCTCGTACGAATCGACCGGCCATTTGGACGCAGTACTGTTTGATGGAAAGGGACGTTATTCAATAAAGCTATAAGGATACCAAGAGAGACTAGATGTTGCGAGTCAATTGATGTCGGGGTGGTGTGGTATGAATGCTATGTTCTCCCCTGTCTTTTGGGCTGCTGAAACAGCTGTAGCTTGCTCCCTACACTTTGACCAGGCTGCGCTTGCCGTCAGTAGAAGAAGTCTTGGCACTGCTTTGTTTGCCATATGTCACTTCACAGCTCTACGACGACGATTCACTCTTTTTGGTTATAATTTTCCTTCCTTCACATCGTCTACTCACTACAATTCCTTTCCACTCTCGAAGCGGCTTTATACACCATGATTTCTCTGCACAGTATTTCTCTCACAATTCATGGAATTGAGGCATACTACAGGACAATTACGTTTTATGTATATAAAATTTTATGCTTTTTATTGTGCAAAACATCACCAACAGTCGCGTGGTCTAATGGTTATGATATCTCGTTCACAGTCGTTGAACTCAATCCGAGATGGTTCGGAGTTCGATCCTCCGCGTGACTACGTGGATGAAGAGAGTATACTTTTGCTACCAACTGTTGACAGAATCCTATGGACAATTTCATAGTACCCTTGGGAATGAATATCTTGATTATTGCTTTTTTGCTCCCCCTCTCCAAAGTGGACGCTTAATTACCCCACTCATGGAACTTCAACAATTCTGGACTGGCAAATCCTTAGGACATTCAACCAACGCAGTTGATCAGGACCCTGATCAGTTTTCCTTGGCATTAAACTTGGACTTATTGATAGATCAGCTGAGTGGTAATAGACTACGGTGTTGTCAAAGGGAAAATAAGCCAGCGTGTGTGATACAAAAGGACGGTTGGTCCATAGCCGTGCCTCGAGGAACTTTAAGATATTGGAAATAGGTAATAGGTAATAGTATTTAAGATATTTATATGCCACTACTATTATCAGCAGATGCCAACATCAAACCCGTTCCTCATCAAACCATCTCGCAACCTAATACAATACGTATATTAACGCATCCAAAATGCACTTCTCCCTCCATATTATAGCGGGTGCAGCACTTTTCCTTTCCCTAACTTCCGCCGTCGACGAAACATCACCTTGCGGTTTTCATATCAGCAAAGCAAACAGAAAAAACGCTGCCGTCATCACGAATATCGAAAAGCTGCTGAAGGAAAAGGCTGTCGATCCTGTTACATTATCCGCATTTAAAGCGACTCTCTCGTCTACTTTAGCTGGGCAGGGCTCTTCAAGACGACAGATTGTCCGATAATTTACAACACCCTGAAAGCTGTGGTAAGTTTTGGCATTATGAAGGCGATCCGTGGGTTGCTAATAGAATGCAACGGCTGGCGGGATAGAACGATCTCGCTCTTGAGGAGGCCGTGGAACCGCAGCGGGCAGGGCTTGTGCGTCGAGTTAAAGCCGATTCGCCAGCGGTAAAAATCGTGTAGCACAGTCTTTGAAGGAGACTTTTGATGAGGTGATGCAGTTTTCTTTTTGTTGCTCTGAAAGAACAAAGGCTGACTTAAAGCAGGAGCTTGCTGGCGACCAGGTCGAAAAGTGGTTGTGGGCCGGCCGTCCCCAGCAACTGGTGACATGCATGACGAAGACAAGATATACTGGCATGGGACTGGTGTGCTCAGCAAAGCGGTCGGGACGGGCCTAAGGGTTGCCAGAAACGCCAGCGTCGTCGTTGTCAAACACACCGTTGCTTACGGGCAGCTGTCGAATCTAAACGGTATCGATGCATATCTTCAGACACACGACATATCAAGAAGCGGCATCCTTCAAGCAAGGCTGTTTTAACACTTTCATCTAGCCTGGCTAGGAATCAAGAGTGGATCAAAGACGATACAACAGAAATTATGGAAGCATTTTCTGCCATGAGTAATGTCCCTTTTGTTATGCCGGCTGATAACGGAGACCCAGTAAACTGTTCCCATAAACCCGCAAGTGGTTACGGATATCAACTTATTTGAGACGCAATATTGTTAATAAAGCTCAAAAGCCTATAAAACTAGAAGACGGTATTGTCGTACGACATATTCTTGACTTGGATTCGCGAGTTTTTCCTCCTCGATGTAGTGCTGTTGAATATATGGCGAATATATTACTCGCTGAACGCGACGGCGGGCTCGTCGGAAAGAACTGGACTTCGAACTTCGTACGACGACAACCACAACTCTCTACGCATTTTAATCAAAAGATCGATTATCAGCGGGTTCAATGCGAAGACCCCATTGCATATAACGCGTGGTTTCGGCTCGTATGAAACATGATTGACAAATATAGGATCAACGAGGAGGATTTATATATAACTTTGACGAGACAGGCTTCTTGATGGGCCAAAGATCATCCGAGATGGTTGTAACTAATGCCGAACGAAAGAGCAGACCTCGTACGACACAGCAGGGCAATAGGGAATGGATTACAGTAATTCAAGGCGTTGGATCGCACGAAAATGTGCTGCCGCCATTCATTATTGTTGCAGGGAAAAACCACCTTCCGTCTTGGAACTAAAACGCTTCTTTACCGCCAGGTTCGATGACTGCTGTTACTTCCAATGGCTGGACAACAAATGAGCAAGGGCTTGACTGGATTAAGCATTTCAATCAATATACAAAGAATCGTACGAAGGCTGTATATCGACTTCTGATGCTTGACGGACACGAAAACCATCATTCGGCTGCCTCTCTTGTTTATTGCAAAAATCGAAACATTATTGTTCTTTACGATCCTGACTATGTAATCTCAAAACTTGACGTTTAACTTCGTATGCCAACGCCAACGACACCAGCGCCATCCATACCTATGATTTGGGAACCTAAAACTCCATGCAATATACTTGAGACACAACCTCAATCAACATACCTTAAGGATCGGGTCGTTCGACGTCAAGATTGTTCACCAACTTCGCTTTTACAAAGCATTGATCAGGTTGCGAAAGGGGCGACGTCTGAAATACACGAATTAGCGTTATTACAAGAAGAAAACACTGTACTTCGCAAAGCAAATGATCTACTCAGCCGACGTCGTCGTACGAAGAAACATCGATTACAAGAAGGAGGATTACTTACTGTCGAAGCTGTCAAAGACTTAGAGGCTCAAAGAGAGGCTAATATACAATTACAAGCCGATTTGCGAGAAAGTATGAGTTGTACGAAGCAAACTGAGCCGCAAAAACGTCGCTGTAGATATTGCGGACAAACTGATCATAACGTACAAACTTATCCAAATCTTAAAAACACATCTCAAGATTCAAATTCGGAAGAATTAGAATAGTTGAATTGACCAATTGCTGAAATATTTAATGGCTTTGTATAATGCCAAGGAAAATTGCTCCGTTCGTTTGTGAACTACGTTACTATAATTTCTACCCTGTTTCGAGATACCCAAGAAGGCTTTGTTGAAATACTCCTTGATTTTGGCCAACGGTAGTCGAGATGATTATCTATACGGCAGCTAAACATATGTGTAGGCCTGTTTCCAGTTCTTAACAAGTAGATCAAACCTTGTTAATGAGTAGGTTATACTTGATCTACTTTTTCTGTGATAATTCTGATTCAGTCCTTTTCATGCCAATCTTGCAGTATGTGCCAGGCAAGAATTGAGGTGACACTGCGGTGGTTTCCGGTCTAGCTTTGATTCTACACTCAGGAGCTGGCTTCGTGTGGTCGCGAACATTCATGCCGCTAATGGAGACGAAGCTCTTGATACCAGCTTCAGCACATGCATTCATGAATTTGATGGCCCTGTCTTGATCAACGGCTATCATGCGAGCATCATTTTCTTCTTTGGAGCTGCCTGCACCAGCTGCCCAGGTGACGACTTCGGGATTGACTTGCTTGAGAGTCTTGACCAGGTCAGAGAAGCTTGCTTCTTCGATGGACAGCACGATTGGCTTGGCTCCAGGTTTTCGTTTTCGACCCACCTTTGGGACCTTGTTACTTTCCTATTGGGACCTCAACGGGCAGGAAATCTGCATCTTATATCACTTATCTTGAGGTCCAAGGCATCAATATAAGCGCGCAACTTTTGGGGAGGTGGCTACCAGAGAGACTAATCAGTCAGTCAGTCAGTCAGTCATCGATATATAGAAAACGCTCGTTGGTTGGCTGACAGAGAATCTCTTCGCTGACTGACTACAAAACTGTCAAAACATCCTCGTTCTTGGCTAAATAAACTCGTATCTATGCCCATCTTCGTGACCGTAGTATATAGGCACCACACCATGCGCTGTGGAGATGCCTATTGCTCCTCTGTTTTGCCAGTTTTTAAGGCATTCCTGGTGCTGGAATCGGCATCTCCTTTACAGGAGACCCTTTTGTGCGCACGACCTCAGCGTAGGTCAAATGCTTCGAGGTAATATAACCCTTGGACAGGTCTCGGGCAGCCTTCTCGAGCCCCTCCATCTGTCCCTTAATGGCCGTCAGGCCTCCATCATCTGCCCCTTTCTCTGCTACCTTCCATACTATCTCCCAGCATTGTTTAACCCTTCCAGATCATCCCTCTTCTCGTATAAATGCTCCAATAGTTATGGTCGCGTTGATTATAACCTCTTTTCCCTTGTTGTCGCGTACGTGTGACAGCCCACTATCACGCTGCCAAAAGGAGGTTGGCGATTTGCTAAAAGGAGGTTGGGGATGATCAAGCTACAGCGTGATCTTCAATGTGATATTCAACGTTCAACATAAGGAGCCTTCCGCTCTCCGCACCTTCCTCTTCTTTCTTTCTCCTCAGTTTTAGATTCTCGAATACACCTTTACTTCTTGATCTGTCGATCTCGTTCTCTTGCCCGTGACAGTGCGCGCCGAGACGCGTCGCGACCGTCAACTTCCATTTCTCCCCTCATATTTGCTTTATTTCATTTACTAGAACTATGTTTTGAAGCTTGTACGAAGGTGAGTATAAAGCAAAGTGATTCTTGATATTGAAGACTTATGGTGGTTTTGGGATTTTGATATTCGATGAATTAATTGGGATTTGTCATTAATTCCCTATGTAAATTGCTTTATTCCGTTAAAATCGGAACATCGTTCGCAACCTGTCTGCAGAATCCACATCTTTCATTCCCGCATTCTCCCGTCAGACGACCCTCAGAATCAATGACAAATTCTTCTCCCGTCCTCCAATTCTTGGGAACTACTGCTTAACTTACATTTGTGATATTATGAGCACTCAGGTCGCCTGTCTGGAAGAACGATGTGAATGCTCTGGCGAAACCTTCGTAGGTCACTGGGCCTGTCCCCTGGAATGCATCGATTTGATTCCACTTCAACTCATCGTCAGCTCAGCCCTGGAAGGTAGGACAATAGCTAATACTTTGGTAGATGGTATCGCTTGCATACTTCGCTGACAGTGTTGTATATTGTGCTATATAACCTGAAAGACGTCAACCTAGCAACATGTAACGCGGAAGAAAAGATTGAATTTTCTTGTGAGCTGCGCTAGCAACTCAGTTTGCTGGACATTCCAAGGTGGTGTCTCTGTAATCCCCAGCCCTGTTTGCGTGTATATCGTATTATACA